TATTAGTATTTTATGTTTTATATTTGTTTTCAATTCAATTTCTTTCAATTTGTCAAAATAAAGTTTTAAAATCTTTTGTAAAATGGAAAGAAAACGATTTAATAACATCCGTATTTTTTAAAAATCTAGTTGAATGTGAAAGTGTCAGTGCGTTCCAAAGTTGTCAAATTTTTAAGGAAATCTCTGATAATCTTTTTCTCAACGCTTTTACTCAGTGAAAGCTGTAATTTGCGAATTTTTCCATTTTAAAAACTTCCAAATCTATATTTTACGATAAAAAACAAGCAAAAAATTTCGCAGAAATTTCGAAAGCAGAAAGCAAAAAATTTCGAGAAAAATTCGTTAGGGCCACACCGAAAATATAAATACTTTATTTAGAAAGAAATAAACATAATATAAACATATAACATATAAACAAATAAACGACATGAAAAATGTACTAGATAAAAGATCACAAAGTCACTTCAAATGCAACGAAATAGCCCTTTTAAAATCAGACACGGTGGAGATCAAACGCAACTTGTTGGGAAGGGCATTCCAAACTTTAGTCACACGTTTTACGAAAAAATCATCATCATTCTTCTTCATTGGGTATACGAAATAGGATATTCAGTGATGCTCCTTCCTTGATTGATGCAAGGAAATTTGAGAAGAATTTCTCGTAGACTTCTTTTGAATTCGATCCCAGCCCCAAGTAATCGCACGATCGAAACTTCTTGACGAAAGAAAAATGAGAAAAGACGTTGAGCGCCATCATTTAAAAAAGGATTAAGATTTAAACGGGTAGTTGAATTTGATACATATTATTTTTGCGATAGGTTGATAGAAGAAATTCTCTTCTCGACAAATCACTCACATAACCCCTTCTGATTGCCATTTAAAGTTTTGTGCACCGGTCAACTGTCCGAGTCCGATAAGCGGTTTTAAAAATAGCAGAAAGAAAATTTTCGAAAAGAAAATTCTAAAGTATCCTTGAAAAAACATCAAGTAAATCGATATCAAATGTGCTTTTCCTCCATTCGAGAGAGTCACAACGCGGCCCATCAAAAGTTTGCTTTTGTGTACTGGCGAATTATCTTGATAAAAAATCATGCTGGACTCATCGAAGCAGTCGCAAATGGAAGTAGATATACAGTGGTCCACAAAAGTAATGCCCATTGCCATTCAAAAGTATTTTTTGCAAAGTTCCTCCTGAAAACATATATTTAAAATATTTTTTTTTAAATACTTTAGAAATTCTAGTTGTTAAATAACTGGATTTTTTTTGATTGAGATCCTTCCAATCAATCCAATCAAGATCGATGTGGAAGACTGCAATTACCCCTAAAATTAGCTCCACAAAAGTGATGCCCCATTGATCGTTTTCATGATTCTTCTTTTTGTTTCTCCTTCTATGAACATTAAGTGTATTCTATTGTATTATTTAGATCCCTGACATGAAAAATCTTGACACTCCGAAGAAGCTCCAAACCGCTAAGGTCCGGGAAAATGGGATGAGGGAGAAGGATGTGGCCAACCTCTTCAATTGCTCGATATGGACAGTGCGCCGCATTTTTTCTCAATCAAAAGTTGGCAAAAACCTTCATCGAGGCCTCAAGAGTGGCCGACGACCAATCACAACCTCAAAAGAAGATCTCAAAGCCGATCAAAAAAAGGTCCAAATGGTGAAAAACGATCCGAACAAAACGTCAACCGATGGAAGCCAAATGATGAAGGATCCATTTAACAAGGTTGTATCGCCGGAAACGATCAGACGACGATTAAATCAAGCTGGATTATATGCAAGAGGGGCTGCCCGAAGCAGTGCCTTGATTTTGCACGGACCTACCGGAGTTGGACAATAAGTGATTGGGCGAAAGTGCTATTTACCGATGAGACAAAAATCAATTTATTTAGCAGGGACAGAAACCATCTTATTCGGCAGCCGACTGGAAAGCGATACACACTCAAGTACATTCGGCCTACGGTGAAATTCAAAGGAGGCAACACAATGTGTTGGGATAAGAGCCTTTTTAGTCAAGTCTCATGATGGGAAGGGTGGTGACTCTTCAAAATGGTACACGAGCACGACTTCCGGGCTGGTTTGCGGCAAGTCGAATCAAATTGATCAATCCGCCTCCCTACTCACCGAATATCAATGTTATCGAGCATCTCTGGTCATTTGTGAAGTCGCGACTCAAGGGAAAGAAATTCGATTCGAAGGCTGCCTTATGGGTTCACATTCAACGTCTCTGGGCCACCATCCCCCAAAGTCCTTTGAAGAATCTCGTGGATTCCATGCCGAATCGACTCAATGAAGTAATAAAAGCAAAAGGAGGACCAACCAAGTATTGATTTTTAAAAATTGTGTTAATTCTTTGTAAATGGGGCATTACTTTTGTGGAGCTAATTTTCAAGTAGCTTATTGTTTTTGTTTTATACTTTAATTTGTATGTAATGTATACGGATAAATCTTAGATTCTTGAAAAGTCGAGTCTTATGGGTCGGTAAAAATACCCTACTCTTTTTCTGAAATGTCGATTTTGCAAGATTTCCTTAAAAAACATACTGTTGGATGGCAATGGGGCATTATTTTTGTGGACCACTGTATGTCCAATATCTCAATATATTGACGGGAATCTATTGTTGACTTTACGAGGACAAGCGGACCTTTTGAACTTTTACACATCGCACGAAAGAAATCACGTTGGACTCCATAAAAAGAAAATTATCGTTACCGAAATGCATAATTTATCCTCCGCCTGTTTTCACCATAGTTTGCAAGTATTTGAGTTGATATCGCTTTTCGATTAGATGTCGGATCAGATGATTCCGTTTTGAAGGAAAAATAGCAACCTTTGTTTTATCAACGAAAATCACTCGGGCCCAATCATCGATTGACCAATTTGAATAGGTTCGAGCAAATTGAAGACGCTGCCTCCTGTGTTTGGCTGCCATCATGGGCTTGAGAGCAGGTCTTCTAGTATACAATGCTGCTTGAAGCAAGCGTAGATGCAAGGTCCAGCGGGAAATATTCTTGTTTGAAGTTTGCTTGAGAAGAATAGCTCCATCGTCCAACGTCAACTGTTCTGGGCGTACATCCTAAGAGGCGAGCAACATCTTGTCGTGGCATTCCTTTCTTCCTTGCCTCGACGATCATTTCTTGACCCGGAGTTGACAAATACGCTCCTGGCATCTAAAAAAAAATCAATTAGCACTAGTAAATACGAAGCAAACGAAAATCATAAAAATTTTTCCAAGTGTGAAAAGACTTTTGCACCACGATTTTCAGGGGTGTTTTGACAATTAATTTTTTTTCTCGATTATGAAGTGTTTTATAGCGGCAACGTTTGTGTAAATAAATTGTACATATACAGGGTGCGGCAAAAGTTCGGAGCCGCTATGAAAACATTGCAGAAAATTTAGCTCACATTTTTTTCTTGTGTCTCGTATACTTTTTTCCCTTTTTTCGAGTATAGTTAAGGTGATTTGTTACAAAAAATTTCTTTTCAGGAGAAAATTCGTAAGAATGAACGCCAAAAAACGACGCGATGTGATTCTCGGACTATACCAAGGCGGAAAAAATAGCCCGGAGATTGTAAAAATCACGAAATAGCCAAAAAGCACCGTCAACAAAGCAATTAAACGCTACAAGGAGATAAAGAACAACAAGGATCGCCCTCGAAGTGGTCGACCACCAACTGCCGTATCACCTACGAACATCAACGAAATTCGCTTTCGGATTCGCCAAAAAAAGCTGCGGTCGATGCGAAAGATGGGCAAACAGCTGAAAATTAGCCCTCGAAGCGTTGGAAGGATTGTTAAAGGGAAACTAAGATTCTTTAGCTACAAATTGGCCAAAGCACATGTCTTGAGCGACAAATCCCAGAAGAAACGAAAGCGTCTAGCAAAGAAGATGGCGCGCTTGGTGACGACTGGCCTACTTGAGAGGATCCTCTTCACAGATGAAAAGATTTTTTCTATCCAGTCATTGCACAACCGCCAAAATCATAGATAACTTCTCAAAAGGGGTCTGAAGAACACATTTGCGGCAAATTTAATGGTTAGAAAGCATTTTTCAGCTTCGATAATGGTGTGTGGAGGTATGTGTGCTACAAGTAAGACGCCGCCTTTTTTTTTGGACAGAAACGTCAAGATGAATGCTAAAAACTGCCAACAACTGGTATTAAAAGATGCCTTGAAACATTGGGTAACAAATCACTTTGGCCAAGCTAGTTTTACCCTTCAACAGGACCGGGCTCCGGCGCATGGTGCTCACTCAACTCTCAACGCTTGACAATCAGTTGTTTCCAGGCTTTTGGGATAAGACGATTTGGCCTTCAAATTCGCCAGATTTTAATCCCCTCGATTACTCCGTTTGGGCTATTTTGGAAGGTAAGATCTCGATGAAGACGTATCAAACAGTGGATGCTTTAAAATCTGCTCTGAAACGAGTCTGGGATGAAATAACTGTTTAAGCGTGCGCCACCATCGTGAGGAACTTCCCAAAGCGTTTAAAGAGGTGTATCGAAGCGGATGGTGGAAATTTCGAGCATTTGTTTCAGTTATTTGTTGTTATGATTCGAATAAAGAATTTGTTATTAATTTTTAGCTTTTTAAAGCTAGTTTTTAAACCTTTAACTATCTTAAGAAGCGGCTCCAAACTTTTGCAGCACCCTGTATTTGTGTAACCAAAGCCATTAATAGCTTTAAGAGCGTCATGAACTTTATCAAAGAAAATCGATGCAACTATTTAGAAAATTGAATGTGAAAAGACTTTTGCACATGACTGTATTGCATTAAATATCTAACGAATTGGTGCACACACACATGTAACAATTACCCACTGTCTATGTTTGAATTTTATGAAAAACAACAAAAAGATTCGAGCGTCAAGACTTTTTTTGGCCACTTTACATGGATAAATTAAAACAATTAACAAATAAAAGAAACGATATTTTATGAGTTTTCTCACAAAGATTTTTAAAAACATGAATAAATAGCAATATTGAGCTTTGCTATTCAATTATTCGCCTTTTCCAGAATTTCTCTATACCCATTTCCATCTCTTCTATATGCTGCTTCTTTCTCACTTCGATCTGTTGAAAAACTTCCACAGACATTGGAGTTTGTTCTAAAATTTTTGTGCATTTTATTTGACCTTCAGTATTGTTTTTAGATCTTTCTAATAATAAAATAAATGTATCCGATTTTTTTCAATGTTTCACAAGATATAAAGCTTATAGAAAAAATCCAGCTCAAATCATGTTTCATTCAATGATTATGGAGGTTTCAAAATTACTTTCAAACTTTGGTAAAATACAAATGGTCGGCTACCTAACTAAAATACCGTTAAACTTACTTAAAACTGGTCTAGAATCCCTGAATTTACAGATTCTTACTCATAATCCATCGATCCCTTAAGAAGCGCTGTCTAACTTCGAGCAAATCACTGAGTTCATAGAGACTAATATAGATGAGATCAACATATTCAGCCATGCATCGATCACAACAGTCTTCCAGTGAGAAGTTTTTATTCCAAAAAGACATCCCTTTGTCGAGGAGAGTGAGTTTCAACAAAAGACCGCAGCGACCTTCAAACAAGTTACTGTAGCCAGACCGGTATCCACGTTTTAGAAAAATAAGCGATGTTTTTTTCGTCTGTTTATAAACTCAACTAACTACAGGGTGCCCCAGAATTACGTGAACCAGTGCGCGCCACTTTATTTAACGTGTCCGAAGCGAAAAAGCGCCTGATAGAAATTGAAGAAAGAAGTTCATCTCTGGGCTCCAAAACATTTCGCGAATCGAATTTGGTATTTTCAACAGGGCGGAGTGCCAGCTCATCAAGCTCGAATTGTTCAGGAATGTGCCAACGGAACTTCCCCGATTTCATCACTTTCAATCAGTGGCCACCCTCATCACCAGATTTGAATCCGATGGATTATAGTATTTGGAGTGTACTCGAGGCAAAGGCATACCAAAAACCTCATTCCAGCATTGATTCTCTTAAGAAGTCACGCGAAAAAGCTTGGGATGAGCTCGACGTCCCGTACCTTTCTGCCACCGTCGATGCATTCCCAAAATGTCTACAAGCATGCATATCCGCGAAAGGAGATCTTTTTGAGAAAAAGTTATTTTTCTTGTTAAAAAAATTGTAAGAATAAAACTTTTGTGTTTTTAACTCGATTTGATCTGCTATGGCTTCTACGCCTAGAAATATATTAGGTTGGAAAGAAAGTTCTCGAAAAAAGTTTGCATGATGATTTCTCAAAAACCAAGCCGTCAATTCTTCCCAAATTCTATTGATAAACTTGATATATTCTATTGATATTTCAAAAAGCTTTTGACAAAAAAAACCGAGTGGGCTTCAGGTAAAAAATTCGAGATTTCTTCAGCTGAAGTGGCTTGGTCACTTTTTGTGACCAGCTGACCAGTGACCAGCTTTTGAACAAGTTTTAAGCTGGAAAATCATAATTTTTCAAAAATCTCTAAAATTTTACGGGAAAGCTACACTCATTTTTTACGAGTGATTTCTTGGAGTCGACTTGTAAATAATAGAACAAAATGTTCTTGAATTGGTGGATTCGTTTTTAAAGAATTACAGTACAAACTTTTTCCGAGAACTTTCTTTCCAACCTAATATTGGTTCACGTAATTCTGGAGCACCCTGTAGTAAGGCTCTTTTCGGAGGTTTCTTTTTTTCTGATGCAAATTTTGTTTCTCTGCTAGAAACAAAAAAGAATAACTTTGCAAAGTGAGAGCAACATAAAAATGTCGACTTTTTTCTAAAGCATGGATACCTGCTACAGTGATTTGACTATACTTACCTTCAGCTCTCATATGTTCACACGTTCGCCGTTTTGCTTCAGCTTTCTTATAATCCACCTGTTTTACCATTATAAAACAAAAACCATAAGAAGGATCTTTCTTTTCTGAAAGTTTAAGCAATAGACTTTCTATCAAATACAAATATATTGTCGGGGAATCCATATGTTGTTCCCATTCATCTAACAGACGAAAAGATTGTTCGAATAAGGAATGAGTTTCGAGAAATTCGAGTTGATTCAATTTAGAACAAGTTGAATATTCGAATTGAAACAAAGAATGAATTGCATTTTCTGGGAATTTCTTAGTGGCACACTGTATTGGACAACCACAAATAGACGTGATTTGATATTTTGCCGAATACTCTGTGATAAGTCCTGGAAATCGTTTAAAAATGTTATCTTCATATTGATCATATAATGTTTCTTCAAACTTGTGCCAATTTTTCTCAACAACTTCAAGTTCAATTTTTAGAAGTTCTTCCGGGAGTTCAATTGCATCTAATACCACGTTATCTTTTTCTTTACATAAAATATTCTGTAAACCGATGTCAGAAAGGATCCCCTTTGTGGACAAGGCTTTTTTAGGGCATATAGTTGGGCAATGACATTTTACAGCAACGTCCCTTCTTTCAATTATATCCAAAATATAGATATATCCCGGAAAACGACTTTTACCTGAAATTATCAGAGCTTTTAAAAGCCATTCTAGTTCAGATCTAGGAAAAGTTGATCGTTTTATCCCTTCATACATTTGCAATAACTCATGTTGATGAACCAAAAATTCAGATAAGGTTTCTGATGTTCTCTTCCGTTCATGTGGATGAAATTTGCTGATTTCGGCTTTCTTTTTATGTAAGACTCGTCGAATCTCCTCTAGATCGACAATAAATGGAGATGAGTCATGGACAAGGTCGCAAATATTGTCTCCTTTTCGAATTTCTCGTAAATCTTTTGTGAAAGCTAATTCGAAGCAGTGTCCCCATGTAGCTCGTGAGCCGACATAATAGACAAGATTGAATTGACGACGCTTTGTATAGATATCTCCTAATTGTTCGATGTTTTCAATGCCAATATTCAGAAGCATCAACAGTTCTTTTGAAGAAAAATTCCTCGATTGACATTTCCATAAAGTATGCAAAGCGAATTCAAAACAAAAGTCCTGCAACGCAAAATCGAAATCGAGAAGTTTCGAGTAGAGTTTTAAAATGTAATGAAGAGACTCTTTGGGTAACTTTTCTTTAGCCTCAAATTTTGTATAACTACTGTAAAAGCCTCTGATATCTCCTCTCGCTGACCAGCCAGAGAATTTTTCAGCATACTGATTGTGCATTGCTTTGAGGTGTGCCAGTAGTTCTCTTTTCTCTGAAATCGAAAAATCTTTGCTTGGGAGAGCTTTCAAAAAAGCGTTTCTCAATTTTTCTCGAAGTAAATTTACATCTTCGAACTTTTCATCATCAAAGCATTTTATGGATTCTGGTAGAGCGAGGAAATTATAAAAATAGACGGGCAAAATGTCTTCTCCGTCCTGAAGCTTTCCCATTAAATTTTCGAAGTTTGACTTTCGTTCAGCTTTTGAAATCCATTGATTGAACTGATTTTGGAGTGTAGCATCAATGGTTGGATCAACTTGAGTGGATTTTGTTCGTTTTACACTTCCCATTTCTAGCGATAGGCCATCAGGAACCATAAATGTTGAGCCGGAAGTTGTGGTTTCAATGCACAACCCCTCGGGTAGTTCGATCCATTTTTGATTCTGATCGCGATAGGGTTTTTGGATGAAAGTGTTGAATTTCTAAAAGCAATAATAGTTTTCTCGTTTTTGACCATACTTTGTTTAATTCTTCGACTTCAAATAGAGCATCTTCAGCTTTTGATCGCGATTTGATACAAATTTTTGGGGATGAACATCTAAAGGGCACTAATTAAAGTTTAATATGAAATTTTTATGTAAAAGTTATTGAAGCAGTAAATACAGCAATATTAAATTTATATTGCTGTATTTACATATGGTCTATTAAGACTTTGAACTCATTTTTGGGTTATTGATAAATTCACCGTTGAATTATCTCAAAAAACATTTTCACATCGGTTGAAGTTGTTCCCGGAAAAGTAAGAGAATTCGATTTGGTCGGCAGATTTCTTTCAATTTAAAAAATTAGTCAAGAATCTACAATCTAATGCAATTCTCACTTTCTCATGGTCGTCTCCCAAAGCACAAGACCGCTTGCGAAGACATCACATTGGTAGAAATCCTAATTTTTAAAATAAAAAATTTTCAATTCTAAAATAAAATTGCAATTATCAATACAATGTCATTATATAACAAATTATATTTACCATTTCAGTGAGTTTGTCAATGTCATTGAACAGCTCAGGGGCCATGTATCGCTCTGTACCGGCAAAAGCAATCCTTTTTCCATCATCCACAAATCGCTCACATACTCCAAAATCACCCAATTTCAAATGAAAAGCACCAGTTACAAAAATGCTAAATTTTATCAGTCTTTTTTCTAATTTCCACCAAACTTTCCCGGTTTTACATCTCGATGCGCGATTCGTTTCGATTTCAAATAAATGAGAGCTGCGAATATTTCAATCGCCCATTTTGTGAGAGTTGACATCGAATAATTGAGGGTCACATCCGAGATTACTGAATATAAGAAAATAAAAGAAAATATTTGACTTTAATGATAATAGTTCAGCAGAATAAAACCATCTCTTAAACAACAGATTCTTTTAAAGTCTCAGAGCAAGGTTATTGCTTCTTTATATTTTCACCAGCAGAGAATCCATTCGGGGACCTTCGGGCCCCTTACGTCCCTTTGAGACGGGTTCGAGGAACACTCATAGTTTAAAGGATCTATGTACCATAGAAAATGAGAAGATCAAGTAAAAAGGAACGCAAAAAAGGAACAGAGAACAGAGTTGTTTTCGTCGAGCGCACAAAACGACTTTTTAGCAGAAAACTTTCTTTCAAATGACTAAAACTACCGTAATCCGTGTTAAGCCCCGCCCCCTTTTTAAAAATGAACCTAAAAGTCAGATTTCCCGTTGCTGACCCCGGGAGCAAAATATTGCCTGCAAAAGCTGAATACTTTGCATTTTTGACCGATAGAGAAAACGTAATTACGACGCGTCACGTTTGCACACAGACGGACAGAGAGACGTAATCATGGAGCGTCACGTTTGCACACAGACAGACAGACAGAGAGACGTAATCATGGAGCGTCACGTTTGCACACAGACAGACAGAGAGACGTAATCATGGAGCGTCACGTTTGCACACAGACAGACAGAGAGACGTAATCATGGAGCGTCACGTTTGCACACAGACAGACAGAGAGACGTAATCATGGAGCGTCACGTTTGCACACAGACAGACAGACAGAGAGACGTAATCATGGAGCGTCACGTTTGCACACAGACAGACAGAGAGACGTAATCATGGAGCGTCACGTTTGCACACAGACGGACAGACGGACAGACGGACGTCTCTTCTGCTTTATATATAGTAGATATTTTTAATATTTCTCACCATCCCGCAACGATCCTTCGTCACAATATTCCATAAATATCGGAAATCTTCCTCCATTATACTCAAAACTCAATGGTTGATCCATAAATTTCACGATATTTTCATCGACCAATTCTTTCAATATTTTCATTTCTTCCTCTTGATCGATAAGATTGCAGGAATATGCGACTTCTTTCATTACTATTGGACTAAATGAGAGTTGTTAGCATAACTAGGAAATATTTTACCATTATTTTATCAATTAAAAATATTAACAAATGATGCGACGTTACAATTACAATCGCATAAGCCTATCAGTAACTCACGGATTAAATTCCTTGAGTAGGAAAACATCACCGAAAGCTCCGCCCCCAATATGGGCCATTTCATCCAAAATCATCATACGAAATGACTTTTCAAATTTCGATTAAAATAACTTCGAAACGAAATAAACCTAGGAGTAAATTTAGAAATATTGATTTTACTGATAATTTTGAAATAACTAAAAATGAACGTAAACCAAATTGTTAAGAACGGAAAAAGCGACGAAAACACAAGGAAATAAGCGCTTCTTTTGTGCAACTTTTCCCTCTTTCGCTTTTTTGCAAAAGAGATTCGATCGATCCAATTGCTCTTTCTTCTTTTGTTTCCCTTTTTCTTGCATTTCTCTCTAGTTTTAGACTCATTTTTTCATCTGATAAATTTGTTTCTTGTAATATAAAGTTATAAAATTAATTTATATGTTGTATCCGATTTGGATTGAACTCACCGCGGATATCCGATTTGGATTTCAATCCAAATCGGATATCTGATTTGGATTGAAACATTATTTTACAGTAGGGTGTCATGTTTTTAAAAGGTTTTTAATCATTTTCTAGAAATTTTACAGAGGTTTAACTCTGGCAACCTAGAACAGTCCGTTAGCACCACCTTTGCCCGAAAAGGTTTTCCTGTATTTTAAGGTGAATTCAATTCAAAGCCCTTTATTTAATTAGCGGCAACTTTATCGTAAATGAAAATAATCATAAACAATAAAATAACTGGTTAAGTAAGCAAATTGGTGAAACTACACTTTAAACGATAAAAACAATGTAACTAAACAAAATGTAATTGTGAAAATGTAAAAAAAACATGGAAAAAACAACTATTTGTTCTTGCAACTAAGACTGTGATGGCATCTGAAATTGCAGAGGAGATCACGCATATCCCTGCATGTCCAAGTTTAACATGAAGAATGTTGAAGAATGTTGAACATGAAGAATGTTGAAGAGTTCTTCTTGTTGAATTACTCGTTGCCTTTCTGGTTCGCTACCGGCTTTCCGTCGTTCGTCTTCGTGATAAAGCGTGACTTTCGTGTTTTCGATTGAAAGAGTGTATCGCTTCAGCAAGTTGGTTTCATGATAGCTCATTTTTGAAGTCTCCAGTGTTGAATCGTTAAAATTTTTAATTTTATCAACCATCAGCTTGTAGATTTCGGCTGTCGGAATTTGGCTCGTCTTTTTTCGCTCCAATAAACTGTGAGTTTCTCATAGAAGCGTGACTTCATCTGTAAAACAACAACATAAAATAGGGTAAACAGCATAAAGACATAAAAAAAATACAGAAGCATGTCAAAACGCGTAAATAAAGTACTTTTTTGGGCAAAGGTGGTGCTAACGGACTGTTCTAGGTTGCCAGAGTTAAACCTCTATAAAATTTCTAGAAAATGATTAAAAACCTTTTAAAAACATGACACCCTACTGTAAAATAATGTTTCAATCCAAATCAGATATCCGATTTGGTTTGAAATCCAAATCGGATATCCGCGGTGAGTTCAATCCAAATCGGATACAACATATAAATTAATTAACTTAGCACAAATAAACAAAACCTGGAGCTCAGAACGAAACTTTGAGTCAGAATGGTTCGCTCAGTGATCAGAGCATGCACCATGTATCCGAAAGCAACTTTATCACAAGAATGAAATCAACTTTACTAGATATTTGAATGTAATTTATAGCTCTAGTTACAATAGATCAATTTTCTCAATAATTTCTAGAAATATAGAGTCGACTCTCAATATAATGATTTGCTCGGGATCGGATTTGAAATCGTTATACCGAATATTCTTATATAGAAACAAATAAATCAAGGGTTTTTCAACGAAATATATATATTGGGTTGGGGAGGATGAGTTGGCGCCCAACTTTAAAGGGACTTTTTGCACACATAAAGCCTTCTTTAAACATACGTTTGGTTTCATCAAAAGGATCCACTATTTCTCTACAAAATGACTTTTGAGAGATTCCACAAAGTGTTTCTTTCGTGGAGTTTATGAACTTCCAAACGCAGCTGGTTAAAATGGCAAAGAGTCCGACTCATCATTTGAACAGTTTCTTTCACATAAACCTTCTTTGGTGTTTATATAAAAAAGATAGAGCACATTCAATTACTTAAGTTGCCAAATTTGCAGGAAGATCCCACCAATGGTTTTTTCTAGATCACAGTTTGTAGTTTTTGTGAAAAAATGGCTTTTTCTTGAGCGGAGGCGCTGTTTGAATTTTCTTTTAAATGTCATTTTGTAGAGAATTAGTTCACCATTCTACTGATATCAAACGCATATTATTTGACGAAGTCGAATAGAAGTTTCAGATCTTTTTTTTGATTTTCGGCGCCGACTCATTCTCCCCAACCCAATAATAATAATGCTTTATTCATACACGAATAAGCGGTGATCAAAAGACGACACAAATTCATACAGAAATTTACCAATCAATGCAATAACCTAAACTCACAAGAACATAGAGAATGGGAAAATGAAATGAAAGGAAAGGAAAGGCTACTTTTATGAGACTTGTGCGTTTCATAACTATTGGGTTGGTGAATTGAAAACTGCGGGACTTTGAAATAAAATTTATTCAACATAAAACCATAAAATCATTCCAAATAAGTTTCATTATTATTGACGACTTCTGCCCATTTTACAGGCAATCCAATATTTCGAATCCAATCACAGTATATCCAATCATCAAATTTGCAAAATAACCTAACATATATAAAGCCATTTCGTCCATGTTTTTCATTTTAATTGCACGGAGTTAGGTCGTTGCTTTTCTTTATAAGTCCCGATAAACTGACAACCGAATAGCTTTCCTTTTTTACTTGGTTTCTGACTAAATTGCACGTTTAAGATTGGATCATCGTCAAGATGCCATTTGAACGGTGGGACTTGCTGCCCATTTTGCTCAAGAGAAACAACGTATGCTTCAAGTCAGTGATCAAAGGTATTTCTGTTTTGTTATTACTAAATTTTTTCTATAGATTTGATTGATGTCAGACAAAACGTTTTTGCTTCCCATTTCAGCAGTTGATCGGCCAAAAATTGGTCCTCGTAATTTGCTTGGAATAGTAACAGATGCTTCTTACACACAAGGCTCACCATTCCACAAAGCTTCCGTACTTTTTCAGAAATCCGTGGCTGCTTTCCGCTTAATAGCTACCGTATCCTCCCCGTCGTCAAGCAATGCGCGTGTCCTTCCCACCAGTTGCGGTGGGGTTGTTGTAGGCTCCGACGGAGAAGTAGGCCAATTGATTTCCAGTAGCTGGCTGCGCTTCGACTCCAAAATAGGCCGACTGCGCTCCGGTCCCACCAGCCGAGAACTAAAAAAAGTTCAATGAGTGCGTAAAGCCAAGTTTTAAGTGCCAATTGGCAAAAAAGCAAATTAACTTTAAGCTAACTTATAAAATCCCCATGGACAAAAATCAAAGTTGGCTGCTATAAACCAACAAACAAAAAAACTTCTATAAGCTCTTATAAAAAATCGGTAAATTAAGCCGCTTTCTATAAGACGCTAAATCTACCGTATATCTCAGGCCTTCAAAACGCGCCAAAAATTCTAGCTTTTATAATTGTTTTCACAGACTTGTTTTTCTTCTTTTCCCAGGTTGTCAATTTTGTTTTTCTAGATGAAAATCGACTACAATGGTTTCTTCAGAGACGATGGAGGCGGTCCCATATGCAAGAAGTGCCTGCATCGCCTGAAAAAACCGTCCAAGAACACCAACTATTCAACAAGCGGAAAACTGTATCATTTGTGCGAAAAACATCCAGATTTACTCGCGACAATCAACGACAGGTTTTTTTTGTGTTTGCATTTATTATGTGCTTTTTAGCGAACACGCCTCGGAAGTAACACTAAAAGAAACTAATCAGATTCAAGAAGTCATTGCTGTAACAACCGATCATGCCTCTAACTTTCTAATTGTAAAAGCTTTAAATCTTTGGACTGATTCTTCCGAGAACACTAAAAAGTAAGTTTGTTACTGTTTTTTTTATCAAGTTATTGACTTTAGTTTGTATATGGCTATTGTGAAATTCCTATGTACGGATAGTGGTTCGTTCTATTATGCTGTTGAAGGAAAGGGATTTCAACAAATGATGCACGAACAAAAGGGATTTCAACAAAAGTGGTCAAATTAGAGTTATGCGTATTTTGCAAAACAGTTGAGTGTTTGAAACGTCTTTTGTTAAGTTAAGGCATTCTATTTGGATGAAACGCTCTAGGTAGCACTGGCAGGAGTTTGAGTTTTATTCGAAAACTTGAAAATTTTAGTTTAAAATGAATGAATGGTCCCATTACACTTTATTTTTAGGTAAAATGGAGGCTTTTCGCTGCCTCGACCCTCATCTTATGGCTGCTCTCCAGTTCAATTAAGAAAATCCAACACAAATTATTGGCCAGCAAACATCGTCACAGGCGCTAAATGCTTCTACATCAGCTGTCTCCACAAACGGCATCAGCACCGATCATAACAACACGCAAAGCTTCGACAGCAATAAGGAGAGCAGCTCAAAGACCAAATTTGAGTGTTTTGTCGCTCAATAACGACAACTCGAATAGCTTATCGGTGAGGAATTTTTGAGCTTATTTCACTGGATTTCAAATTACAATTAACTTTTTTAGTTTGCTTCACTGAATACCTCAGATCTAGATCTAAAGCCTAGAGAGGTCAAACCGATGAAGTCAATCACCGATGCGCCTCTCACACTCGTTTCAAACCAGTCGTTATTCTCACCCACTTACGAAAATCCGAGAGGTAAGGGCTCTTCAGCTAAACTTTCAATATTTTGTTTTAGAAAGTATTCAAGCCAAAAGATGAGGCGACTATTCGGAAAGAAAACAGTTTCCTTACCAAATCAATTAATCAAAAAGAGAAAATTGAGCAAGAGGTTTTGGTAAAAGGTAAATGCAACTGGACCGACTATACTGTATTGCTTTTTAGAAACAAAAAGAAACGGGGATGAGCCCCATAATTTTACGAGAAGTCCACTCTATGATGAATCCTCGATGTTTGAAGATGGGGAGACGAGGGATGTTGAAGAGGTCGCGGTGGAGCTAGTTGTTGGTAGACCTTTTCCGGCAAAAAAGCGTCTGCAAAGGCATGGCTCGTCTAATGGCTTTGATCGTTGGAAAAATGGTGAGTTTTTGTTGGAAGATTATAAGTACTGAGTCATTGTGCTTTCATTCATCGGAAAAGTGCTGTGCAAGGTACACGATTGAATTCCTACTTTCGTTAGAAAATAGCATGGCAGGCTAGTTTCATCAGTTCCTAAAAGCCAAAATCCATGTGAGTCAGGGCAAGTAAGGCTAGACGAAATCAAAGCCAAACCCTGGTAAGCTCTAGGAATCTTGGTGCAGAAATAGCCATGGTTTCACCTGTTTTCACTTCCATTGCTTGTTATTTATTGAAAGTTGATCTCCCAATCAATTGATTTCTCCAGCACATGCGTCAAAACCTCAAAAATCCTGATCAAATCAATAACCCAAAATTCTCTAATTTCCCATTTTCTATCCAATTATTGTTCTCTTTCGAAATTTCTCGTTTATTTTTTGATCCAATCGAGCCGTTGGCATAAATTGTCTCTTCTCCTCCACCTTGGCCAGCAGATGTCGAATAATGCGGAACGATAGCGATATCAATCGATAGCGATATAAAAGGAAAGATCGCTCAAAGAAGAATTCAGTTCTCTTCACTTTCCGCCTTCAAAATCTTTTCTTTTTACCTATTTTTCAATTTAGATTCGCTAATTTCTTTTTGGAAATGTCTCTTTTCGAGCTAGCTTCCTCCTTCTTAAACATAACAAAAAGCAACAACATTCTAATCAATTCTAACTGTAGTCGTTACGGAAATTTCTGTGAGTTTTAAGATTAACTATTGAGCTGAAATTAACAAAAGATTAGCTTAAATCCATTCACCAATTTACCCTTTTGATTTTAGTCGGCTAGTTTCATCTAATCGGCTAGAAGAACCGATTAAAATGTTGTTGCTTTTTGTTATGTTTTGTTAGCTTTTCTCATTATCATTGTTGCTTCGAATAAATTTGTGAAATATTGTTCGATGATGCAGTTACTGTTTGAAAAATGGGGCGGGGCCAGAAAGACCTTTTATACGCGTCCCCTCCCCTCACCATTAAGCTCAATTATCTCCGCTTTGGGCAGTCCAATTTCAATAGTTTTTCTACTAATCGATAGACAAAGACGTGACAAATCCAATGATACAAAGAAGATTGAAATTCCACGGCTTAACACCGAGATAATTGAGTTCAAAGTTGAGGCAAAAGAGGCGCGATTTCTTGTTTGTCGATTTTGTCGATTTCTTGATTCATTGACTTTTTTCCAAGCTTTAACTTTTGTGGGTCTTCACGGTTTGGCTTTTCGAAGCCAATTTCACTGTTTCCTAACATTTCTTCTATCCGTAAAGCACCTCTTTATGTCAAAACAAAATCTAATCTTTTTATTTACAGGTAAGAGTCATGCGGTTCGAAATGAAGAATTGGACGTCATTTCCAATGGAGAAGTTGTGTTTCGATTTGAAGTTGGAAATGTTGGAACAAATGGAACCAAGGGGTGTGCTTGAGTTGGCCAAGGTGAATCAAGAATTCCAAGGGATGCTCGTGAGAGGTCCGTCGATTTTTGGAAAGCGCGTCTCTGAGATTGGATTTTACGATGAGAGGATCGAAATCAGGAAATTTTCGAATTCAATTAAAAGGGAGCTCAATGTCTTTTCTCACGTTTCTTTTGTCAAAAAGATTCGATCGTGCGATCACTTGAGGGTGGGATGGAGTTCAAAAGAAGCCTACGAGAAATTCTTCTCAAATCTCCATGCATCGATCAAGGGAGCATGGCTGGATATCAGATTTGATGTAGACGATGAAGAAGATCAAGTTATCAAAGATCTCATCGAGAATTTCATCGTGGCACGACTCAAGGATTGCGAGAAGATTGGAATTGAGTATCATTCCAAAGATTTATTACGCTTTTACTACAATGCCTTGTTGAAGACTCAAATCAAAAACGTTAAAGTGAATGATGAATATGGTGGCTGCATTGATTTGACTGCTCAACAGATCGCCACCAATGGAATCCCGAGCAAGAACCCTGAGGCTGCTATCTTCTTTCATGCACATAAATCTTACCTCAGGGGTGACCTTTCACAATATCCAGGAATGCTACGAATCGATGGAGAGAATCGTCATCGACTTCTCAAACAGGCGAATGATCTTGTGGAAAATTTTGGATGGTCTTGTGGTGATTCTGATTTCTTCGGGGAAGAAAGCTCAATGTTCTATCGACGTGTTGATTCAACCAGGGACTGCATCTGTGTGTACAACGATGAGAGTTGTACGTACTTCTTGGCCTTCTACGTCCCGGTCGACTAAAATGATCACTCTTTGATGATTCATTGTATTCTTATTAATTATTGATTATTTAGTTGCTTTCTATGATTGTTTCCATTTTTGAATTGACAGATTATTGGTATTTTATGTTTTATATATGTTGCCTTTCAATTTGTCAATTTGGTTCCTTGGACCAATCCAAATTTAAAGAGATAGGGAACCAAATTTAGAGAGATAGGGAACCAAATTTAGACAGATAGGGAACCAAATTTAGACAGATAGGGAACCAAATTTAGACAGATAGGGAACCAAATTTAGAGAAATAGGGAACCAAATTTTTCTGATTATTTAGTTGCTTTCTATGATTGTTATCATTTTTTGAATTGACAGATTATTGGTATTTTATGTTTTATATTTGTTTTCAATTCAATTTCTTTCAATTTGTCAAAATAAATTTTTTAAATCTTTTGTGAAATAAAAGAAAACGATTTAATATCATCCGTACTTTTTAGAAATCTAATTGAATGTGAAAGTGTCAGTGCGTTCCAAAGTTGTCAAATTTTTAAGGAAATCTCTGGTAATCTTTTTCTCAACGCTTTTACTCTGTGAAAGCTGTAATTTGCGAATTTTTCCATTTCAAAATCTTCTAAATCTATATTTTACGACAAAAAAGCATCGAAAATGAAATTTTTGAAAATTCGAGAAAAATTCGTTAGGGCCACACCAAAAACGAGGGAAATTTGACGAAAATTCACTTTTCGAGAAATTTTGTAAAAATTTGATTTTTTTGAGAAAACTTTTGAGTTGCGTGGGCGACAGGATGAAAGGGAAATTGAAGTTTTTCGAAATGTTTTAATTTCGAAATCAAGCTGAACTCTTCAGCGGCTGCAAATCGAGGGTTTTCGCCTTCTCACCGTACTTTGTAGTTCTCACCTTCGCAGCTTCCTGAGATCTGAAAATTGAAAGCGGAGAATCCACGTCCATCTACACCACCCCTGAAGCAACATCTGGAGGAGCCGCTAAGCCTACTGGAGCTGGAGGGGCCGCTAAGTCTACTGGAGCTGGAGGAGCCGCTAAGTCTACTGGAGCTGGAGGAGCCGCTAAGTCTACTGGAGCTGGAGGAGCGGGCAGTTTTTCTTACTATTTTTGTTCTTCCTCCCGTTGACCCATTTTGACTTTATTCTTACCGATTTTTTATAAGTTAGCTTGTAGAAGTTTTTTCGTTTGTTGGTTTATAGAAGCCAACTTTTATTTTTGTCCATGGGGATTTTATAAGTTAGCTTAAAGTTAATTTCCTTTTTTGCCAATTGGCACTTAAAACTTGGCTTTACGCACTCATTGAACTTTTTTTAGTTCTCAGCTGGTGGGACCGGAGCGCAGTCGGCCTATTTAGGAGTCGAAGCGCCGCCAGCTGCTGGAAATCTGCGCAGCCGCAGGCTAGTTTCATCAGTTCCTAAAAGCCAAAATCCATGTGAGTCAGGGCAAGTAAGGCTAGACGAAATCAAAGCCAAACCCTGGTAAGGTCTAGGAATCTTGGTGCAGAAATAGCCATGGTTTCACCTGTTTTCAGTTTCATTGCTTTTATTTATTGATAGTTGATCTGGAGAAATCAATTGATAATTCCATCAATTGATTTCTCCAGCACATGCGTCAAAACCTCAAAAATCCTGATCAAATCAATAAATCAACAAACCAAACCAAACAACCAAAATTGTCCAATTCCCCATTTTCTATCCAATTATTGTTTTCTTTCGCAATTTCTCGTTTATTTTTGGACCCAATCGAGCCAAATTGTCTCTTCTCCTCCACCTTGGCCAGCAGATGTCGAATAATACGGAACGGTATCAATCGATAGCGATATAAAAGGAAAGATAGCTCAAAGAAGAATTCAGTTCTCTTCACTTTCCGGCTTCAAAATCTTTTCTTTTTACCTATTTTTCAATTTAGATTCGCTAATTTCTTTTTGGAAATGTCTCTTTTCGAGCTAGCTTCCTCCTTCTTAAACATAACAAAAAGCAACAACATTCTAATCAATTCTAACTGTAGTCGTTACGGAAATTTCTGTGAGTTTTAAGATTAACTATTGAGCTGAAATTAACAAAAGATTAGCTTAAATCCATTCACCAATTTACCCTTTTGATTTTAGTCGGCTACAACGAGAAGGTGCTCTCCTGTGAAAGTCGGTGGAATCGCAACTGCTTCGATCACGTGGCCTTTGTGGAAAGTGCATGTGAGTCACTTCATACCAATAAGTGACTTTTGAACAAGAAATATTAAGCCAACAGTTTAGGTAAAA